CCCCGGGGTCTCACTGTGGCTTTCTCTCTGCCCCAGCGGACCATGTGTCCCACCTGGAAAACGTCTCTGAGGAGGAGATCAACCGGCTGCTGGGCATGGTGGTGGACGTGGAGAACCTCTTCATGTCGGTGCACAAGGAGGAGGACACGGACACCAAGCAGGTGTATTTCTACCTGTTCAAGGTGCGTCTGGGGCTGGGCACGTTGTGTGGGGTCCCTCAGCATCATGGGGAGCTGGGGCTGCTCTCCTGCTCCGTGTCCTCTGCCTGCTCCCCCGGGGAGCCGTGGGGCTGTGACCTGTCCTACCAGTCCAGCAGGGGCCTGAAATGCCCACCCTGTGCTGGGGGTGACTGCTCTGCTGGGCTTGAGTTCTCCTGGGAGGGGGGTTCCTCCCCCTGTGCTCCAAGGTGGACGCTGGCACCTCCTTGGCTCCATGTGCCTGGTTCCTGGGGCATCCATAACCACGTCCCACGGTGTCCTCCCAGCTCCTGCGGAAGTGCATCCTGCAGATGAGCCAGCCTGTGGTCGAGGGGTCCCTGGGGAGCCCCCCCTTCGAGAAGCCAAACATTGAGCAGGTGAGGCCTCTGCCAGGCTCACGCCTCGCGCTGAGGACTTGTCCCGTTCTGCTGCTCTTGCATGGTCCCCTCCTTCTCCGGGGGGGCAGCACCCCTCGCCTTTCCACAGCCCCTTCCTCTCCCCAGGGAGTCCTGAACTTCGTGCAGTACAAGTTCAGCCACTTGCCACCCAAGGAGCGACAGACCATGTACGAGCTCTCCAAGATGTTCCTGCTCTGCCTCAACTACTGGAAGCTGGAGACGCCGTCCCAGTTCCGGCAGCGCTCCCAGAACGACGATGTGGCCACCTACAAGGTCAACTACACGAGGTGAGGGCGGGAGGAGGTCCGAGCCAGCCAGCCAGGGGTCTGCCCCTTCTGTCACCCTGGTGTGGGGCTGATCCTTGGCTCCTGGGGTCTTCACCTCTCCCAGGTGAGGAGAGCAGGCGTCTGGTGGGGAGGCAGCTTCCAAATGATGTTGGCCATGACCCCCTCCAGATACCTCCTCCCCTCATCCCTGCTCCCAGGAGGGATGAGGATGCTCTGGGGTGGCTGGTCCCAGCGTGTTCCTGTCCCGTAGGTGGCTGTGCTACTGCCACGTCCCGCAGAGCTGCGACAGCCTCCCCCGCTACGAGACCACCCATGTCTTTGGGCGCAGCCTCCTCAAGTCCATCTTCACGGTCACCCGTCGGCAGCTGCTGGAGAAATTCCGGGTGGAGAAGGACAAGCTGGTGCCGGAGAAGCGGACACTCATCCTCACCCACTTCCCCAAGTAGGTGCCCGACGTGGGGATGGCTGCTCCGTGGGGGGTGCTCCCTCCCTGGGGGGCAACTCCTACACCAAGTGTGATGCCCCGTGCTCCCCACGGCGAGCGGAGCTGTGGGGCTGTGCGTGCCCTGATGGGCTGCTCCCTGCCAGGTTCCTGTCCATGCTGGAGGAGGAGATCTACGGCGAGAACTCTCCCATCTGGGAGGCCGATTTCACCGTGCCAGCCGCAGAGGGTGCCCAGTTGGTGTCTCGTCCAGGTATCTCAAGGGGCAGCTCCCCCAGCTCGGGGGCTGTAGGATAAATCCTCAGGAGGATAGGGAAGCCCTACAGAGGGACCTAGATAGATTGGATCACTGGGCCAAGATCAATGGGATGAGTTTCAACAAGGGCAAGTGCTGGGTCCTGCACTTGGGCCACAACAACCCCCTGCAGCGCTACAGGCTGGGGGAAGTGTGGCTGGAGCTGCTTGGAGGAAAGAGACCTGGGGGTTCTAGTTGACAAATGGCTGAATATGAGCCGGCCGTGTGCCCAGGGGGGCAAGAAAGCCAATGGCATCCTGGCTTGTATCAAAAATAGTGTGACCAGCAGAAGTAGGGAGGTGATTGTGCCCCTGTGCTCAGCACTGGGGAGGCCACACCTCGAGTATTGTGTCCAGTTTTGGGCACCTCAATCCAAGAGAGATCTTGAGGTGCTGGAGCGAGTGCAGAGGAGGGCAACGAAACTAGTGAAGGGCCTGGAGAACAAATCATATGAAGAGCGGCTGAAGGAGCTGGGGCTGTTTAGTGTGAGGAAGAGGAGGCTGAGGGGAGACCTCATCACTCTCTACAACTACATGAAAGGACACTGTAGAGAGGTTGGCGCTGGTCTCTTCTCACAGGTAATTAGTGACAGAACGAGAGGGAACGGCTTCAAGCTCCAACAGGGGAGGTTTAGATTGAACATTAGGAAGGAATTTTTCACCAAAAGAGTGGTCGGGCATTGGAACAGGCTGCCCAGGGAGGGGGTGGAGTCCCCATCCCTGGTTGTGTTTAAGGGCCGTTTAGATGCAGTGCTGAGGGACATGGTGTAGGGGAGGACTTTGTAGAGTAGGGGAGATGGTTGGACTCGATGATCCTAAAGGTCTCTTCCAACCTCAATGATTCTATGATAAAGGGCTGAGGTGTGGGTGAGCCGGTGGCGGTGGCTGGGCTGCCACAGCCTGGCGAGGGGCTTTCTGGCAGCCACGGGCATCGCTGGTCTCTTCCAGCCGCCGTCAGCACCGTGGCTGTGCCCACCACCCCGCTCTTCAGCAAGAAGCTCAGCAACAGCAGCTCTGCCGCCAGCATGGACGCCAGCACCCCCGAGCCCCTGCCAGGTAGGGGCCAGTGTGTGCCCGGTGCTGGAGCTGGCACCTTCCTTGGCACCTCCTGGTGCTGGATGTGCCGCTCTGCTCCGCTCCCTCCCCAGGGGAGAAGCGGAAACTGCCCGAGAGCCTGACGCTGGAGGATGCCAAGCGGATCCGCGTCATGGGAGACATCCCCATGGAGCTGGTGAACGAGGTCATGCTGACCATCACGGACCCCGCTGCCATGCTGGGCCCTGAGGTATGGGGTGGGGGGCACTGAGGTGGCACCGAGGCTCTCCAGGGCCCACTGCTTTCCTGGTGTGCTTGAGACCTGGCTGGGTACCCCCACGGAGGGTTGTGTGGGGGCAAGATCACAGAGAGAGTGGTCGGGCATTGGAACAGGCTGCCCAGGGAGGTGGTTGAGTCACCGTCCCTGGCTGTGTTTAAGGGACGTTTAGATGCGGTACTGAGGGATGTGGTGTAGGGGAGGACTTTGTAGAGTAGGGGAGATGGTTGGACTCAATGATCCCAAGGGTCTCTTCCAACATCAATGATTCTATGATTCTAAGTGAAATCCCCCCGTGCTCTCCAGACCAGCCTGCTGTCGGCCAACGCGGCGCGGGATGAGACGGCCCGGCTGGAGGAGCGACGCGGCATCATCGAGTTCCACGTCATCGGCAACTCCCTCTCGCAGAAGTCCAACAAGAAGATCCTGATGTGGCTGGTGGGGCTGCAGAACGTCTTCTCCCACCAGCTGCCCCGCATGCCCAAGGAGTACATCACTCGCCTCGTCTTCGACCCGTGCGTGGCTGGGGGGGCATTGGGGAGGGGGGGGTGCTGGTGTTGGGGGTCTCCCCTCTCACCCTTGGCCCTGCTGCCCGCAGGAAGCACAAGACCCTGGCACTGATCAAGGATGGCCGAGTGATTGGGGGCATCTGCTTCCGCATGTTCCCCACCCAGGGCTTCACGGAGATCGTCTTCTGTGCCGTCACGTCCAACGAGCAAGTGAAGGTGGGAGTGGGGAGGTGGGTGGGGGGCACAGTGTGGCATGGGGGTGCCTGGCAGCACAGAGAGGGGGCTGTAGATTGGGGAGGAGCGAAGCAGTGAGGGACAGGATGGTCTGGTTGTAGCTGGGACAGCACAGGGGTGTCCCAGCCCCTGGGGTAGCCAGACCTGCTCACAACTAGCCCAGCCTTCCAGCTGCCTGTGTCCATGGATGGGAGGGGGCTGATTTGGGCTGCCTGGCGGGGGGGGTCCTTGTCTCACGGCGGCTCCCCCAGGGCTACGGGACGCACCTGATGAACCACCTGAAGGAGTACCACATCAAGCACAACATCCTCTACTTCCTCACCTACGCGGATGAGTATGCCATCGGCTACTTCAAGAAGCAGGTGGGCTCCTTGCCCCCGGTGGCCCCCCCTTAGGCCCCCCCACCCTCCAGTTCCCCCTCTCTACACCTGCTCCCTCCCTCCTAGGGCTTTTCCAAGGACATCAAGGTCCCCAAGAGCCGCTACCTGGGCTACATCAAGGACTACGAGGGGGCGACGCTGATGGAGTGTGAGCTGAACCCCCGCATCCCCTACACTGAGCTCTCCCACATCATCAAGAAGCAGAAGGAGGTACGTCCCTGTGTGCTGAGGGGGGGGCTCTGCCCCTGGAGACAGGGTAGGGGGGTGGGATATCCCTTGGGGATGTCCCTCGAATCATCCCTGGGAGCAGGCTGGTGGAGCAGGGAGGGGACGCTGGTGGCCAGGGCTGGCTCTGGACCCCCCCGGGGACCTGTCAATCCTGGTTTGTGTCCCTGGAGCACCCCTGCTCACCTCCCCCCTTCCCACTGCAGATCATCAAGAAGCTGATTGAGCGGAAGCAGGCCCAGATCCGCAAGGTCTACCCCGGCCTGACCTGCTTCAAGGAGGGTGTGCGGCAGATCCCCATCGAGAGCGTCCCCGGCATCCGTGAGTGCTGTGGTTGGGATGGGACGAGCTGCCTGGCAGGAGGGCTCCATCCTCCCTCCCCCGTGACTCTGGGGCAGCCGTGGTGACATCTACCCTTCATTTCCAGGAGAAACAGGGTGGAAGCCGCTGGGGAAGGAGAAGGGGTGAGTGCTGCAGGGGGGATGGCGGGTGTCTGGCTGTGAGGGTTAAGCCCTGGTTGCTCCACACTCCTGGTGGTGGCCCAGAACTGGGCTGGGGAGGTGGGAGCACTGGGCTGGGGAGCTGGGAGTGCTGGGATGGGGAGAGTCTGCCCACCCTGGACTGATGGGCTCTGATTTTTGTCCTGCAGAAAAGAGCTGAAGGACCCGGACCAGCTCTACAACACCCTGAAGAACCTCCTGGCCCAGATCAAGGTGTGGAAGGAGGGGACCCTCCGCTCTGGGGTCCTTGTTCCCCCAACAGCCCTCGGAGCTGCCTCTTCTGGGCTCTGCTCTGGAGGGAGATGGAGTGACCCAGGCGCGGGGGGAGCTGGACCCCCGTGTGTGGGGGCTGGACCCCTGTGTGTGGGGGCTGCCTGTGCTCGCTGCTGTAACCTGTCTCCCCCCCAGACCCACCCCAGCGCGTGGCCCTTCATGGAGCCGGTGAAGAAGTCGGAGGCGCCAGATTATTATGAAATCATCCGCTTCCCTATCGGTAGGGGGGTGTGCCTGGGGCTGGATGGCAGAGGGAGGGCTGCAGACCCCCTGTCTGGGGGGGTCTGTGCTGGGGAGGGGGTGTCACAGCTGGGGGTTAGGGGAGCTGGGAGATGGTCCAGAAGAGATGGATGAGTTGGGACCCTCGGTTGGTGTCCAGCGTCGTGGCTGGGGGTTAGGGGAGCTGGGAGATGGTCCAGAAGAGAGGGATGAGTTGGGACCTTCGGTTGGTGTCCAGCGTCACGGCTGAGGGGTGCAGAGGCCTAAGGGGGGGGTCCTGATCCTTCCCTTCCCCTCCCCCAGACCTGAAGACCATGACCGAGCGCCTGAAGAACCGCTACTACGTCACCAAGAAGCTCTTCATCGCCGACCTGCAGCGCATCATCACCAACTGCCGCGAGTACAACCCCCCCGACAGCGACTACTGCAAGTGTGCCAACACCCTGGAGAAGTTCTTCTACTTCAAGCTCAAGGAGGGGGGGCTCATCGACAAGTAGGGGAGCTGGCCTGCCCCCCCTTGTCCACTGTCCCCCCCCTACCCCCTCAGGAGGGACAAGGGCTGCCCCGTGGGACTTGGCCCCCCTCCGTGGGTGGTGGTCGCTGGAGGGTTGTTTGCTGCTGAGCAGCTTGGGGGGAACTGAGCCTTCCCTCTGGGGGGGGGTGAGGGGAGCAGGGGGTGCCTGGTGCTTTTACCCCCGAGCTGCCTCTCCTGGGGGGTGTGAGCAGTGGGGCTGGAGCTGCCTCACGGGGCTCTGCCCGGGGCTGGGGTCCCTGCCTTGTCCTGGGGGCTGGGAGCCCCCCCCTGGCACCAGCACTTCCCTCCTCCCCAGGGCTGTGCCTTCTGCCCCGGCTCCGTGACAGGGCAGGGGCACACAAGTGCTTTGGTTTTCTGCTTCCGTCCACGCACGGGCAGCCCCTGCCCCTCTTCTTGAATGTACGGTGGGGCTCAGCCCTGCCTGCCCCCGGGCTGCTCGTAGCCCAGGGTCCTGCTGTGGGGTGGGGGGGGTGCTCTGCCCCTGCACCCCTCAGCTCCTGCTGCCTCTCTCGGCTCTTTCCACCCCCATCCTGGGGGGACAGATCTGTCCCCAGCCCTCCCTCTGTCCCGGGGGGTCCTGGCCATGCTCCCTGCCCCTCACCTGGGGGGGGGGCAATGAGGGCTGGGCTGCCCTGACTGCTTCTCCAGCTCCTGGGGTGGGGGGGGTGCCCGTTCCCCTGCTCTCCCCCAGCCTGTGGGGTCGGTTCCTGCTTCTCTCCCCCCTCCTTGCACCTCCCAGGCCCTGTTTTCGCCCCCCCCCCAGCACCTCCTTGGGGGTGCTGGGCTGGTGAGTGCCTGACCCCAGCACTGACTTGTCCCCCCCCCTCACTTGGTCGCCTGCTCCTTGCCCCCCCGTGTTGCCATCGCTGTGTGGGTGCTAG